GCAGAACTGGCTAGGCGCACATCACTAGACTTAACTAGGCGTGATAGTTCTCCGATGAGACCATTTTGGAAAAAATCAGTCAACAAATGGGAATGCACACTTAAAACAGTGAGTATTCTAAGTACTGCTAGATCAAGGTCAGCATCGCCTGGGTTTCTTAGTAATAGCTCGGCTAATTTATCCAAAAGACCTATATTGACTAAGGTCTTCGCTAAATTATCTTCTTCGTAAACTTTACTGTGGAATAAAGTGAGGTGGTGATGAATTGCATCCAAACAGAGGACGCACAAGTCTCGTTCACTAATACTGTCTGGTTTCATTGGAATACTATCTACTTCCATGGCTTGTTCTTGGACATTTGCAAAGTATTTGGATAGAAAGTGTTTGATGCAGCCATGGGGGTTGATATTTTGGGCGGACATGATCAAGTCGCGGAACTTGAAGGACATGAGTTCGGACGTGAGCGCCGCGCGTCGCACGTGGATGGGCGGCGGCAGGAAGTAGCGCAGGTCAGCGCCGCGGGTGCGCGCAAGCAACACCGCTGTATTTTTATCCAACGCTTGTGCGAGCTTCAGGCAGTCCCAGTGCTTGTTATTTTTGAACGCTGCCAGCTGTTCCAGCGCTATGTTCCGCTGCTCTTTATTCCCATGCCTGCACAGCCACAGCAGTCTCCACGCCAGGGAATGCTTCAAGCTCTTCCAGATACGCGCTAGGCCCACAGATTGCCTGCTTTCCTTATCCTGCTCTAGTTTCATTGTCGCTCCATACGAAGGGTCATCGATGTAAATGTACTGGACAGAATGTTTCTTCTCTCTGTCGAGCACGTTCGTGTTCACAACATTGTTGATAGATCTGTATGTTTGGCGAATATGATACGCAATAAAGAGGCCACTGCCGCCCCATAGGGAAGCTATTTTTAGAACTTTGAGCACGGGTTTTAATCTATCTTGTAAGCTCATTGTTTACTAAACTATTTAGAACTTGCCCTATTGTTGTTGACATTTTTGTGCTGAATGGCTGAATGACTTTGACAATTTTGACATAATTTACTATCAAAGAATGACAGTGACATTTGACAGCTCTGGGATATTGGATTACATAGATAGAGCATACACTTGTTATCACTGACGTTTAAACCATGGACTTTGCATAACTTTAAAATAAACGTGCTCGGTACATAGTTACATTATACACACACTTTAAGGGACGATACACATTGCGCGTCGGAGCGCGTCGGAGCGCACTTACACGGCCGTAAAGAAAATAGTAAATTATTAACAGTTCTAAAGTCCTAATTGCTTAAAACTGATTAACTGACATTTCAATTCGGACGGATGCGCAATCCAGTGGATACGCGCGCATTCCACCGCATTTTTGGCCGAACGGACGCTGCGCGGCGCGCCGACTCGCGCCGGTCAATGTGAATCCTGCCTTACACACATTATAAGTACACGATTTCGGAAAACAACATGGCCGCAATATATAGGCAATCAGCTGACAGATGTTTGTGTCTGTGTTTGTAGTTGTCAGCCCAGATTGCCTTTATTGCGGCCAAGTTGGTGACGTCACATGAAAACAGTGTTGCCAGAAGGTTACTTTTGTAACCTTTTTGGTTACTTTTGAACTGCTGTGGTTACTTTTAGGTTACACTAATGAAAAGGTTACTTTTAGGTGATTTTTCAGAAATTGTAGAATTAACTTTGCAGGTTATTCAGTAAAAAATATTAATAGTGACAATTTAAAAATTATGTCATAAAGTGCATTTAAACTTGAATTTTATTTATTATTTGTTAAGAAAAATTAGTTTTAGCGAATGTTTTTCGATAATAAAACGCAAATCCATGAAACGTTTTTATACGACTGGTCACTTTTCGTATTTAGATGATCAATTGTATTCATTTTCCATCCATGAACAACCTTTTACACAATCATCACTAGAGATGAAACGGATAGTTGTTTGGCCGGATACCGGATACCGGATATCCGGCCAGCTGCTAGGCCGGATAGCCGGATATCCGGCGGCCGGATAGTTGGCCCATTGTCTCGTTGCATGTCATGACGAGTTTAACGCCGCACAGGTGCTTCGAACGCGATCAGTGGGTCTATTAGTAGACTAGACTAGTCACACTTTTCGAAAATCGAATCAGTCNCCAAGTGCCGTTTAAAGCTAGGGCCTGACGCTCTAGGGACTGACGATTTGGAGTAAAACTTAACACAAATGCAGATTAACTTTATATTATAAGATGCTTAATACGATGTGCCGAAAATAGCCAAAAAACCACACGTAAATACTATTAAATTATATACAATTTCCTATTATAATCAATAAAGCTACTCAACTAGGGACTGACGAAGTGACTGGATTAACACATGTTTCCGCAACAACTGGCACGTTTGCACTTATTCAAAAAACGGCTACCGCAAAGCCAGTATGGTCTGAGGATAACTTCGTATCGTACTTTAAACTCAACTAAATGTCATTCACTCTAAATACATATTAAAGCGCAAAATTATAAAATCAGTGCGTGGCGAGGGAATGACGCTAAAAACTGTAGACTCTTTTTCAACTAAAGAAAATCAAATTATTGTTTATTGAAACCGCAAAATATTAATAGAATTTGGTGTAATATACATTTAAATAGATTATTCGTTGATTAAAACAAAGGATAAAGTTGATGTTTTTATAAATGTGGGTCCCAAAACACAAACTTTTGGAGTACGGACATGCCTAGGGAATGACGTTTTGGGTCATTCAAAAGGAATTTAAGATGTTTTAAAAATAGTTTCAAAAAATATAAATGGGTGATGAATAAAGCACATTGCGAGCTATTATTTAACAATTTTGGAATAAAATATTAACAAATATTTCATGTGAAATGTGGCGCGGACTAAGAGTTGACATATTTTTGTGGAATGACCCATAAAGGTTACTTTTGGTTCAAAAAGGTTACTTTTTGTTCAAAAAGGTTACTTTTTTTTATATTTCTGGTAATTTCTGACTAGACCCGACTGGCAACACTGCATGAAAATGTTGCCAGAATGAGTACTGACCAAACATTATCTAGAGTGCCAAGTTCAAGAAATGTTCATTTATAGGTCTACCAGAATCTCATGGCATAAAAAATATCAATTGGGAAAGTGGTGGCTGGGGTGTTCCATATGCCACGAAGTGGCCGGTTAAATATTTTAGGTCTAATGACACCTGTAGATAGAGAACAGGTTTTAAATTAATTCTCCTGCGAGGATAATGAGAACTGGTTTAGATAAAGCGATTTAGCCGTGGTTTCCAGTAAAGCGTAGAGAAGGAGAGACGAGAGATGTGTTTTGAACCAATCAGATTTATTTCCGAACGAGCAGAGTGCAGAGAAGATGTGGAAATAATAGAATCTGATTGGTTATTCAAAACGCGTCTCGTCTCCCATCTTTTCCGCTTAAGTATAGTCGTGTTGCACCGAAGACCACGTCCATCCTTCGTCTGGAGCTGCAAGCAGCGGTCATGGGCGCACGGATGGCGAGGTGCGTCGTCGAAGTGCACGGTGAGAAACGGGGCAGCTGTTTGGGATGCCATCTTGGAAAAGGCAAGTCCAATAACTATACTTACATTTTCTTTTTTTTTGTTTTAAAAATGTGACCACGTTTCTTTGTTTCAGAAACGCGCGAGTTCACAATAATTGCGCGCAACGAAAGTTGAGATTGAGAAGAACGCATACTCAAAGTGATGTACCTACATGATAATATTCTTTGCTTGTGTCGATTGATTGCCTTAACTCTTGCTGCGCGACCTATTAGGTCACGGACTTGAGAGAACTTCATTTCTAAGAGTGTCAGAAGAGAGCGACAGCCACCGGTGCAGGTACATTTTATAGCCCGCTCGTTGCTAAATATTCAGAATAGGTATTTTAAAATATGTATTTGGATTAGGTGGATTAGGTAAATCAGTACCTACCTAATCCATCTTGTACCTACGGTGTACCTACCTGTAACTGTACCTACATATTATTGTATGTAGTTATTACTGGTATTACACTCAAATCATTCAGTCAGCAATTCCGCCGTTTGTACTATCGGCAACAGTGTTAACTGCCCATTGCCAGGCATGTCATCTCGTTTTATCGCAAAGAATCACCATTTGATGAGAGCAAGAGCAAAAACGGAAATGTATAGTTAACAGTGTGGCCGTGTGTACGTTCTAATAGGTTTCTAAGACGAGTACCTAATAATAAAATTACATTCAATAAATCAGTGCTTTCATCGCATTCATAGCAATCACACGTCATTGTTAGCATTAGCATAACATTGTAGGTAATTTACGATATAGTACGATACCTATAACAATAAACTCTTATTAATATCCCAATCTCCAGTATTTTATTTAGCATTCTTTAGATTTCTCACGGTATACTTGCGTTATACCTACCTACCTACTTTTAGACCCACTTACGTAAAACATAATTTATGCTGTCATGTATTTAATTCACCAATGGTTAGGTAATAAAAACACCAAACATTTTTTAAAATTTATTTCTCTACGATCTACATTCTAACATTTAAAGCATTGTAACACCAATTGACAAATAGTCTTTACTACTGGACTTACGAGTAATATTATAATAACACATCGAACGGCGCGCATCGGAGAACAAGGGAGCGCTTTTACAAAGCCGCAGAGGAAATTGTATTTAATCTATACTAATATTATAAATGCGAAAGTAACTCTGTCTGTCGGTCTGTCTGTCTGTCTCGCTTTCACGCCTAAACCACTGAACCGATTTTAATGAAATTTGGCATAAAGATAGTTTGAGTCCCGGGAAAGGATAGTTTTTATCGTGGTTTTTGAAACAGGGACGCGCGCGATAAAGTTTTTCTGAGACAGGCAAAATTCCACGCGGGCGAAGCCGCGGGTGGATAGCTAGTTACCAATAAGGACGTATTCGCATCCAACTAATTATTATTTTGGAACCCGAGCATGCCGGGCGTGCGTATTCTTCGGAACACGATCGCTACACGCTGATGTCACAGCAGCGCGGCGACTCGCGTGCCCTGCGCGCTGTGTTGTGCTTGCTTAGGCCCTCGCCCACGGCGACTTTTTAAAAGTAAAAAAGTAAAAAGTATTTATTTCTAAAAGATGTCACATGTACAATTTATTCTGGCGGTCTCTGATGCTGTCGCGCGTTTCGTAAACGAACGACAGCAACGCTACTAACGCGCGTTAGTCGCCTTTGCATCGCGCTACAGAAGTGATGCCAACACGCTACTAACGCGCTACAGCGGCGCGACTGTATCGATGCAAACGCGCGACCGTGTCGTGGCGAGGGCGTGCGGGTTTGCATTGAATGTCGTCGCCAGCTAGTGCGTCAAAATATGTATGAAAAGTTTAGTTCTTGAAAGTATCCGCTAAGGACGCTGTACCATCCTTCATACTTTTGATGTCAATATTTTACGCAGTCGCTAGAGAAGCCTTTGATGTAAATTCGCACTAAGCCCTCTGATGCGCGCCGCTTGATGTCAATCTTACGGATCTGACTTACAGAACTATGCTTATCAAATAATATATAGATAGAGAAAAGTTTACATAAATGCTGAGCAAAATAAGTAGGGGTCACGTGTATCGTGAGTTTTCCCCGCTGGCAGGATTAAATTAGCAGGACATTTAGTTATTTATTTATGCTAATGATGATTTATTCATCATCGGGAAAAACTACAAACTTATCGTTAAAATTCTTATTTTTCTAAAATGGCTTACTTGCTATTTATGTATACGTATAGGCCAGGGGTTCCCAAAGTGTGCGCGGCGCCCTGGTGCGCCGTAGAAAGTAAAAAGGGGCGTAAATCCTTTACGTCGCGTTAGCGCTTGAAAACTCCCACGTCTTTCGACTGTATCTTTTTCAAAGAATAGCGCGCTGACACAAAGTAAGTTCGCCGCGGGATGAAAATGACTGGGAACCCAGTCCATGGGGAATATTAGGTGAAAAGTAGGAAAATGCCTATTTGTATAGAATGAAAATTTGGAAAATAGATTTTTCCACACAGTTTTTTAAAGAACGCTTAATCTAAATTATATATTTAGTGGACCGAGACTGAGACAACATTAGGTCATGAGAAAAATAAAGGAAAACATTTAAAATTAGTACAACCTGTAAGAAATATTCATATTTTTATAACGTTAATGGACTACGTAGGATAAGTTGTTTTGACGAATTATTTCTATTAATTAAAAAAAAAATGTAGGCCTATGCCTACATTTTTAAACGTTGCGTCTTTAAAATGAAGTTTAAAATAAAACAAATAAATATGGAAATAGCTATTGTTTTAAAGAAACTTTAAACTTTGGAGAAAAATTCGGCAATTTCATCCTGGCCTACCTACCCCTCTTACAATAATATTAACTTACTGTAGGTTAAAAACTAAGTGATATTCAGGCCTTAAACTATACTGAATATCTTTGAATTCAGTGTAACATTGGACTCAAAGATTTATAATGCCGAAACATTCATTAAGCGTAAAATTGATTGGTACTATTTCCCGTTAATTTAAAAATACCCGTTTAATTTTTGGGTAAATATTGTTACAAAACATTTACTTTTAAATCACAATATAACCTGTTTGCACTTAATTATTTATATAAATTTATCGAAAAGGACCCTGCACCTAGGGGTAAAAAACTTGTAAATTTTACATTATTCTACTATTCAAAACTTTTCATTTGATATCGAGGGAGTTGTTAAAAAATATCCTACTAATATTATAAATAAATGCGAAAGTTTGGATGTCTGGATAGATGTTTGTTAACTCTTTCACGCAAAAACTACTGAACGGATTTTGATAAAACTTTACAGTATTATTCTTTATAACCCATATCTAATAACATTTATAGGCTATAATATAATAAGACGATCTATGACAAACTAAATTTCACGCAGGTGAAGCTAATGACAAAAAATTACGGAATATTTTCCGTAATTTTGTGGCGGCGGCCATCTTAGATCGATTTTCATCAAAACATAGTTGTGTGTGAACCGATTTTGATTTTTAATAAAAGGTGGGCTTTTTTTGTTCTCTTACACAGACAAACAGTCACGTGAAACTTATAACACCCCGTAGTTTTTTCGTTGGGGGTTAAATAGTTATGAAAATTACTAAAATAAATAATTGTAAAAAGATTTAGTACTTGACACAATACTTATTATAAAGGTACCTACAGTAGGCAGGTACCTAGGTTTATCAGTTACGTTGATCATCACAATAAAAAGTTAACTTGTAGGAAAAGATAGTTAACGGCGGTTAAAAGATTGTAAGAGTTACAGTTACAGTTATTATACACTCGGCATCAAATAAATCGCACCTCCCGCGACAAGCACTTATCAAACGTATGCATCCCCACTTCCCACCAACATTGGTATCATTTAAGCATTTGAAAGCCTAGTTCTAAACTTCATTTCATTATAGTAAAGGTTTTTACCCGAAAAATGTGTCTTTACAAGGATCCAGAGTCACTTCTTCAAAAAATAGGTAGTTACGCTATAGCCATTTATTTAGTAATGAAATGTATTTTTCTTTAAGGATATTTATTGGGCTTTCAAATAACACCAATATTGTTGGGGTACCATGTTTGTGTCAGAAGAAAATCTTTAAAGTTCGCGTCGCGGAAGGTGCGGTTTATTTGATGTTGAGTGTAGATGTTGATATTCAGAAAGTTTTGTGAAATACTATTGAATGAACAGTTAAGTAGGTTAAGGTCATTAAATATTAAATGTAATACTGAATATTTGCAAAAAAGAACCTATTCCGAATTTCTGTTTGCCGTTATTTGACCAAACTCTTCATACATGTACCGACGGACTTCTATATTACAATATCGTTGCAGAATATAGAATACAGATTCAAACTTCTCAATCGTATCTAAATCATATTTAGTTTTTGCATTTGCAATGTTAGGTATTGTTCTCAAGGCTATCAGACTAGTTTCAGTGGTATGCAATTCCAACAAACCACGGCTGATCGAGAGCAAAATATCCTCATCATCCAAATCTTTGAGTAATTTAAACTTGAAATGAATTGCACAATTGGTAATAGAGTCAACTATGTCGCCTGAGAATTTGATCGAATATTCTTTAGAATTAACGTCTGCTATTATCATATCTCCAACATACATGCCGAATTCGAAAGCGACATTCTTCATATGTTCTTCAGTCATATTATCTTGGGGTTTTGTCAGCGCGATTTTAATTATTTGCCTGTTTAGAATCATTATTTTTAAGTTCCAGGTAAAGAAATGAAAGTCCTGCCTTGACAAACGAGAATCCGCATACGATAAAATTGCCTCGAGTATCGGCAATGCATCTAAGAAAGATTGCGTATCAGGCAATGCATTATGATATTTACGATGCAAGAATCTGTTTTTGTTTAAGGATTTGATGAATTGTTCGAATGATTTTCTGTAAAGGAAGATATCATTGGCTCTGACATCCCAATGCTTGAAGCAGTTGTCCACCGACCTTATAGCTATAGACAAAGACTCATACATATCTAGTACCGTGCTTGTAAAATATTCTATGTAATGTGCTACAAGATCCCATTTAGCTTTGAAGATTTCAAAGTTGTTTGTCCACTCAAAGGATAAATTATCAAATATTTGCTTTAATGCCTTCTTACTTAAGCAGTTGAATCTATCATCTATTTGTTTTAATAATTCTATTTGCCGAGTGACATTTTTCTGATCATTTTTGAAACTTTTTACTGCCGTCCAAGCAGCATAAAAATAGTCACCTAGGACTTCAGAAGGTAAAATTATACGTTTGGAAAATTCGAACAAATTATCTGCGTCATTCTCATGAAGACTCTTGGTTAACTTAAGTAAGATGGAGTGCAATACATTTTGTGGTTTCCTCTTATTTGTTATAAATTTTAACAATATATTGTAAATAGCATTTCTTGTGGCGACGTCTTCTCTGTTTTTCCAGAATTCCCGAATAATCATTTTATAGTTATCTTTAATGTCTAATGTAATAAATAAAAGTTGACAGCCGTAACATTTCATAAACGGATTATGGGAACGTATCAAATCACCAATGAATTGTCTGCGTAATTGACCCGAGAAGTTCAAAAGTAATCTTATGATAATACTATGCCGGTATTTGTAATCGGTAATACCGTCATCAGTGATGTACATCATGAGATGAAAAAGTTGTTTTGGTGGCGAGTAAGTTGAAAATCGGATGATAGCCTTCTGCGTATTCAATGTGTTGGGTTCTTCCTCGTTAGAGGGCTTTTGAGGCGCGTAGTTTTCCAAGAATTTAATTTTGGTACTTTCGTCACTTAATTGGAAAATTCCATAAACAACTAAATCTCTCCCTGAATATGTTTCTAAATGGACATTTTCAGTGACCAACTGAACATAATATTTTATAATTTCCTTAGCAACATCTTCTGAATAGTATATTTTTATCTTGTTTAATAAACGAAAACGAAGTCGCAGATCCTTGCGTTTAGTAAAAGGTTGCGACAAAATTGCGTCTTTTTTTAGCATATCAATTAATTGTTCGTCACTTCCATAAAAAGGTTTGGATTTTAATTTTCGATTCTCATTGTTTAATTTCATAACTGTATCGCCTATCATTATATAATCCGCCAGAGAATCTGGAATATCGTTTAAAGATTTTCCGAAAAGAGCCATTAGGTCCTTCAGACATTCAACGAATGTCAATAAACATTCACTTATTTCCGGCTCTCCACTGTACATATAGGGTAAAGGAGATTCAAGAAGTCTTTCCGAATAGAATTCTAAAATGTACTTGTATACTTTTTCTTGAATTTCCTGATTCAACTCTTCAATGAATGATTTTTTGATGAAACGCAAAGGCATACCAACTTCCATAAGGCATTTTAATCCTTCAGGAATAGCTATACCATTTATTAGATGATACAATATTCCAGTAACTTGGATAAAGGGGTTGCCCTGAAATCGATCGCGTGAATAAGCCTTCGTGCTATGCGCAATATGGTCAAAATCTCTCCATACTCTCCGATCAAATTTAAAAATATTGTGATTTGATGCAATTATTGTTAACAAATCTATTTTGTTTTTTTCGGGAAGTTCTTGTATATATGTATAATAATGATAAAATACTGTTAATATTTGTGTTGTGTCTTTAGCACACCGCATTAAAAAGTCTATCAGTATAAAACGATTTTGTTGAGAAGCATTACGGAATAAGTCATTGATACTGCAAAATGTTCTATAAAAATTTATGAATTCGTAAAAAAGGTAACTACGACGGCCTAAAGTTTGGTGACGAATATTACACATCGCCCATGCTTCCAACTTTACCGCCGGCATAAAGCTGTAATATTTATTGTCATAGAATTGTTCACACATCATATTAATTGCCTTTTGATATTTTTTACGATACAACTGTTTAATAATTTTAAATCTTAGATTAGGAGGAACAGCATATCACATCAACAGTTGAATCTTTTTTTGGTGACGTTCTTCCCAAAATTGGGACTCAATGTCTGGTAGTACAATTAATAAGCCCCAATCCTTTACTGCCAAATGTGTTATAGACTTTGCTAATATTGTAGAATTGAGTATCTTTATATAGAGACTCGGTTTTTTCTGTATTCTCCGATGGTGTTTTGACAAAATAATTTTTGTCATTTTTCTGCTCAGATTACAAGCACAGGCTGTGAGAGCATCTTCATATTTTTCAAGTAAATCTAAGTATTTTTTATGGGAATGCTCGTATAAATGGTTACATTTTCGTATAACCGCATTTTTATTAACACAGTTACTTAATAATAACGCTTCAAATAGTGCAAAAGAATCACCTATAAATATTTTCCAATAATTTGCGTTTTCTCTTATCGGCTTCTTACTATTAAAAGGCCGGTGTGCAATGAAATTTAATTTTACAGATTCTGCTGTCCTGTTCAGAAACTTATAAGAATAATTTATTAAACATGAATACCTTTTGCAATATTCGTAGAAAGAATTTAGACGGCTCTTATTTTTAACTCGCGAAGATATTTCCGAAAGTAGTTTGCCTATCATTTTCATTGACATGGAGTTGAATATGTGCTTGTCCAAATAGTCAGGTTCGATGATTGTTGAAAACTCATCGTCATATAGCCAGGAGCACTTTTGGATCACTCTCTCTGTGGTAAGAGGTTCACCTGACTGCAAAACAGCCAGGATGTATTCTGAGTGTTTGAAAGCAATGGCGAGGTCCAGTTTAAATTGTCGATCTAAGTCCGATAATTCCGGCATATCTTTGATTTGTTCAAAGGAGTCATATTTCTCGAAAGCTTCTTTGACTTGCTTGTTGTAGTCACGCTGTCGTTGGGGCAAACTTCCAAATAGTTTAATCGTGGAAGAAGCCATGGTGGCCGCTCAGCACCTGTAAACAATAATTAACATTGTCGTTTTTCCAAAATACTCGTATAATCTCTTTTATCGAGGATTACGACATACATTAGGAATAGGTACGATTAGGCCCAGAACAGACGGCGAAACGCAACTGCAACAAAACTGCAACTGCTAGTTACTTTTGAGTTGCATCAAAGTTTCTGCCATAGCGTCCGTTGAGAGACCACACATGACGCGACCAGTTTGAAACTTTCAGTTTTAGTTTCATTCATCAGAATTATCACAAAGTTGCAGTTGCAATTTTATTTCGATTCAAATTTATTCCTAACGCTCGATTTATTGTGGGCAAAAGAAGGAGTGCGCTGCCCGCTCGTCGCCCGCTCCCGCGCCGCTGCCCGCTCGTCGCCCGCTCCCGCGCCGCTGCCCGCTCGTCGCCCGCTCCCGCGCCGCTGCCCGCTCAGTCGCCGCTGCCGCGCCGCTGTTTTCGAGAACCGGTCTATTTGATTTTACGCATAAGATCCTGCCGCTCCCGCGCCGCCGCCGCCGCCGCCCCGCTGCCCGCTAAGTTCGAGGCTGAGGCCTTAGGGTTGACATTTTAAGTATGTAGTATGTATTGTAGTAGTATACTAACAAATAGTTATCGATTAGTTTCGGCCTGCTGTCACTAAAAGATTTATAATAACGCGCAAGTCCTTTTAAACATTTACTAGACCTAGTCCTTTTAAACATTTTTTTAGAGAGAGAGAGAGGAGAGAGAAAGAGGAGAGCGAGAGAAGATAGAGCGGGAGGATAGAGAGAGAGAGAAGAGAGAGAGAATAGAGAGGGAGGATAGAGAGAGAGAGAAGAGAGAGAGGAATCAGAGGGAGGATAGAGAGAGAGAAGAGAGAGAGAAGAGAGAGGATAGAGAGAGAGAGGTTAGAGAGAGAGGTTAGAGAGAGAGAGAGAAGAGAGAGAGAGAGGAGAGAGAGGTTAGAGAGAGAGAGTATAGAGAGAGAGAGAGAGTAGAGCGAGAGAGGATAGAGAGGGAGGATAGAGAGAGGATAGAGAGAGAGAGGATAGAGAGAGAGAGTATAGAGAGAGAGAGTAGAGCGAGAGAGGATAGAGAGACCTGAATGTCTCCAACTTCCTCATTGGCCCTAGAGCAATTCCAAGTATACCATCAATAAAAGTCATCATACCTCTCAGTCATTCAATTAGAGCCATTAGAACTTCATAACTATGAGTTGTTTTCTGTGTGTAAGCTGAGGACACGTGTCCCCGGCTGACACATCTGTATCTTCGTAAATATTTATGCTACGATAATGTATTATACCTCAAAAATTACAGTCGAATCCAAATAGTAGGCTTTCCAATTTTCAAGACTTTAGCTCAAATACTGTTAAAACCACGATCAAAAAACTATGTGCGAACTGGAGTACCGTGTCTCCAGCTTACAAATATGTAGTTGAAGTATCCCACCTTATTCGTTCTGGGCATGGTGGGGTATAACGAACTCAGGGTGAGGAGGGAACTCGCACTGTCCATATATATTTTTAAATTGATGCGAGGCAAGGTGAGTAACCCTGAGCTCCTGGGACACATACGGTGGAGCGTGCCCAGCCGCTACGTGGAGCGGAGGCGGCGGCCGCGGCTGCTGGACACGCCGCGCGCGCGCACGCTGCGGGAGGCACCGCTCACTCGCGCCATGCGCCTTATTAATACGTTAGCGGATCGAATTGACTTATTTGCTTGCTCTCTGAATGAGTTCACAATAGCTGCTCTATACGTGATATGTTATTGTTAAGATTATTAGAATATGGTTATAGATATAAGTTTAGATTAAGCATTATTTAACAAAGTATGTTATACCTACTATCGCATTAGGCGTCAACCTGTAATGATAGTTATAAGTGTGGAAAATAAATAAATAAAATAAAATAAAAATGTATCTTTGTAAATATTTAAGCTACATCAATGTTTTATATCTCATAAATTAAAGTCGAACAAAAAAACCCGACTTCAAATCTTTCAAAGCTTTATCTCGAACCGTTTTCGAACTACGAACCGATATGTATGTGTAAGCTGGTGACACGTAACACACGGTGGATTATTAAAACCGTATAAGTTAGAGTTGCGTTTTAAAGATCAAATAATTTGTTATAATTAAAGTACACACGAGACATAATTTCAAATCTCTAGGCCTCTTAGTTTCAGAATTAAAAGCCAAAAACTATTTTCCCGCCAAATAATTCAAATAATGTGGGTCGACTGCGACGTTGCCGTTCCGTGCGTCCACTAGAGCAGTCGAATTTGAACCTAAAAACTAGTAGCGTTTGAATCATTTTTATTTGTAGTTTATATCATTTAATTAGGATAGAGAGGATAGAGAGAGAGGATAGAGAGAGAGAGTAGAGCGAGAGAGGATAGAGAAATAGGATAGAAAGAGAGGATAGAGAGGATAGAGAGAGAGGAGAAAGAGTGAGAGAGAGGTGAGAGACAGGATAGAGATAGGATAGAAAGAGTGGATAGAGAGAGAGAGGATAGAGGAGAGGAGAGAGGAGAGAGGAGAGAGGAGAGAGGAGAGAGGAGAGAGGAGAGATATGTGAAACAACTATAAATAATGACAAATTAATAATATTTATTTAAAAAATATTACTTACGTGAGTGGGCGCGCGGTGAGCAAATTGCCGCTTGGCGACACCTGATGGTAACAAACTCCTCCTTAAGCTCTGAGGGCGTTCAGCATATTGGTAACGAAAGTAGGGGCAGCTGCTGAAAAAAAGCGCACATTTAGCGGGAAATTGCTTTAATACATTACTACAGGGTGTTAGGTAAATGGGTATATGAGCCGACACTAGCCCATGTTAACATGGGCATATAAATGGTATGGTGAAGTCAGAAATTTGATATCATCATTTTAACTTATTTAATTTTCATACAAAATAAATTTTATAAAATCCGATTTGTATGAAAATTAAAATAATTAAAATGAAGATATTAATTTTCTGACTTCACCATACCATTTAAATGCCCATGTTAACATGGGCCAGTGTCGGCTCATATACCCATTTACCTAACACCCTGTATAATTTTTAGACGAGGGAGGTAAAATGCTCATTTTCAAAGTCTGATCGCCATCGTTGCACGGCGGCTGATCGCGTTGGTTTGACGGAACCTTTAAAGCTCCTAAACCTAGCTTTAAATTGGCACTTAAAACTTTAATATTTTGCTAACAGTCCCCTAATTCCCTTTATCGCCGGTAATCGAAAAAATAGTCTTGGAAACCCCTAAGCCATTTTAAAATACCTATCCAACGATACCCCACACGATGGGGTAGAAGATGAAAAAAAAATCACCCCCACTTTACATGTAGGGGAGCTACCCTATAAAAATGTTCTACCAAATTTTTATTCTACCACTTTGTCGGCGTAATTAATACTCGTACATATTTCCACTAAATTACAACTTTCCAGTGCCAATAGTTTCCAAGGAAACCCTCGGTCGGACAGACAGACGGACATAACGAAACTATAAGGGTTCCTTGTCAGGACTACGGAACCCTAAAAAGCACTGTAGTTTGAGCGCAATCGATGACGGCTGCGCATGGCATTTGTGAGCCCTCGGGGAAAACTAAATTAATAATTATAAACTAATTTAGAATTTTACATCACTGGAAACCACCCGTATTTAATTTAAATCTTTACACTTTTCAAACAGTGTATTTTAATTCTTAATCAGATATGAGAAACCTATCAGAAATCCAAGATGGCGGCTGAGCTGCCTAACCCATTTTCAATACAATATCTTTTTTACAAAATTGTATGCATTCTATGTTATAATATTGTAATCGTAGCTTGCTTGCATTCAATTTGATAAGCCCAAACCTCATGCACCTAGATCTAGAGCTTCAAAAGGCACTGGAGTTTGAGGGCAATCGATACCAAATACCTAAGTCGTAAATAACGTCTTATTTAAAATTCTAGATTATAATTTTATATCACTGTAAACCATTCGTTTAAATTCTTAATTGAATTAAAACAGTATTTAATTTCAATTAAACAAAACCATCAGTTATTATACTTTTTTACTTGTATGTATTAAAGATAAGCCCAAAACCACATAAACTTAGCTTTGCTTAAAAAGTACTAGAGTGTGAGCGCAATCGATGATGGTCGCGCATGGAATTTCGAGAGCTTGCGGGAAAAAACCTAATAAAATTTAATAAGGACCTTAAATTGATTTAAATGCCTACAATACCGGTTATAAATGAGTATTTAATTTTATTTTAACCCTGCCCAAAGCTTAACTTGTTCAAATTCATAAAGATAACCTACGAAAATTCGTGTAGTTCACTGTCTCTCAATATGTTGAAAATGGTAATTTTATTTATAATATATATATGTACTCGTAATGGGATTTTAAAATCACAGAAAACGATTTGTTTCCATATCTTTATTTTAATAAATCAATATCAATTATTCAACATTAATGCTACATACGAAAAATCTATTCGAAATTCAATATGGCCGCCGCCCCACCTGTCGATGTCAATCGAACCTAATTTTTTACATCAAATTGTCTGCAGATGGCTGAATGTATCGGATTCAAAAAGTCCAAAAGCTTTTAAAGCTCGGCTTCAAAAAGTTCTAAAAGTTATAATAAACGCTAAGGCCGCGTAATCTCACGAGGCCATAGGCAAAAACCAAATGTGTTAAAAGAACTATATGCCTCCTATAGTGTTTTATAATTTAAGTGCCTATACAAGTTTTCTTTGGGTAGGGCTTCAAATAGAACATCCAGACAACCTATGAAAAATCTATGATGCATATCCCACTGTCTATTACTGCGTAAAATGGTACCTACATGCAATCCAACTTTAAATGGGAATTAATATAACTGGAAATCATTAATTGGTATTCCTATCTTCAGTTAAATTAAATCAGTACATTAGGCCAAATTAAGCCAAAAATATCAAATATTGGAAATTCAAGATGGCCGCCGAGGCGTCACCCATTTTTACCTGAACAAAGATTTTCCAGAAAAGCTATCCAAGGCAGCTTGAACGTATCAAAAATGACAAAATGGAAAGCTCGCAAATCGCGTAAGAGCTTCATAAAGCCTTTAGGTACTATAATAAGTACAAAGTAGAAAAGTCGCATTGTAATTTCGCGAGGCAGACAAAGTAAATTACTCATAAACTCATAAATCGGTAATTAAAATGAACTAAAATGCCTCCAATAACCGTATAAACTTATGTACATAAGTTTCCTTAGGGCAGGGCGTCACCCGACTAGACAAAGAAAATCGATAATTTAGGACTCATCACAATTTCTGCTGAATAAGTGCTTTAATCGTATTTAAACCAGCAGAATAACATTAGAATGTTAATTTAATGGGAAGCAGTTCGCTTTCTAGCTCTTTGGTGGAAATAAAAAAGATTCTTAGGTACCTTGAACAGATGCGTCGCTCTCAACTGCTACCGCCGGCGAGCTGGAGACGAATGTGCCAAACCAATTATTGCCCCAATCAGTCTAGTATTGATTTTCCCAGAAGGGGATGGGGGAGACTGCCCAGCATCTGTCGAACAACATTTATCTCCACAAAATAGTGCCATCTGAATCACAGGTAACACAAACAACTAGCTTGTTGCGCCAAGCTATATGGGCACGTAGATGGCGGTAGTGCCGGTATGAAATTTAAGTAAATTAAGTATGGTGAACAAAATCTAAGGAAATATACCTGGTTCGTGGCTGATTTGTACACACTTCTTCGATTCGCAGCCCGTGTCTGTGACCATGTATGAATTTCAGCAAAATTCACCAAAACCACAGAACACAAAATAATTTTCAAAACTATGTGGCGCCAGCTGTATTTAAGATATGCAAACTAGACCAAACACCAGAGGCTAGACGAGTCAAACTTCCATAGACTAATTTAGGCAGAGGACACAAGGACTAATTCCTACACAAAACAATTTCATCCGACACGTCAATAATTGGTTTGAAACGAAAAACATTGAAAGATAATATACACACAATTGATTACAATATTTAAACACATTCACTGAATTGATACTAAAATCATGGACAATAGAACTTGACTCATCATTTATGTACCGATGAGTGACCATAGACTGCCCGCCGACGCACCAGGGTGCATCTCCAGATACGACAGAAAACTTAGCTACTCGTATGTTGATTCGTTCTGGTCTATTTTGAAACTATTATACTATCAATGAAAATGCTATATTAACACATTATAATTGATAATGTACATAACATATTAAATAATATTAATTGTATTTTGAAACTCGCTTTGCGTTCGCGGCAAAATTCGACGAGAGTCAAGATCGATTATGCCAAAAGACAAGTACATAGAACAACAAAAAACATTCGCAATCATTCATAACCCGTTGAGTTAGGGTTGTTGCTGTAACAAGTTCATTGAGTACTGTTCGCGACTGTACATGATACGGGGTTCGCACGCAACCTATGTCAAAGGAATCAAATCTCGTACTATCATTACCTCATCTGAGGCTAGATTAAAAAAATATAGGTTTTGTTTAAAATACGTTCCCTCAATCGAGAAATTTAAAACCTTGTCGTCTTACATTAAGGTCATTAATTCCAGTCTTATGTAAATAAGATAGAATTGTTTGTGAGAAATGGAGCAACTTGCGCGCGCACGTGTACATTCCCCCAAACCGTATATATACATAGAATGCATTAAAGTATGTACATAGAGGAGTGAGGAGCTTTCGGCAGTGACGCACTGGATGAGACGGAGGGCGGACGTCGTCGTGAAAATCTTCAGCATGAAAACACGAGGGAACTCTATATTTTATATTCTATACGGTAGGAACATAGTAATAATGCCGCTATAAGGATTTAACAGTAACAATAATTTCCTAACTAGTTAGGTAGGTACTTGTATTATAATATCAACTTAACTGGAACTTGAAAAAGCATAACATGGATGTAGGAAATTCAAAAACAATCTATACAAATATTTTAGAGAGGAAAGATTTTTTTTGTATATTTGTTTTTAATAGGCTCCGGAACTACTGGACCGATTTGAAAAATTATGTCACCATTGGTATCCAATTTTTTTCTGTTGAACATAGGCATATAATTAATGCGAAGCTGGGACCTTCCGCTGGTACCTATATTTATTTATGTTATAATATTTTGACGAAGTTTAGTAATATTAAAATTATTATAAGCTCAGACGTGAACATTATTTGTAAGGGATTATAAAGGGGACAATATTATTTGATCCTCTAAAAACTAATTGATCTTTTTTGTATGTGCACTTTTAAAAATAAATGATGTTTTTTATTATATTTTATCCTTATATTAATTATTGGGTCCATATTAGTTGATCTACGGATAAATTATGAATGATCTTCATTTCAGGTAACATAATATTTATGTTTAACATACTCTTTTAATATTTGGTAAACAAAAATAATATTTGATCCTCTTTTTTAATTATTGATCTTTAATTTTGTTAATTTGATGATTTTTATATCAAGTTTGCCTTTTAATATTGATCACCTAATAAATACATTTCGATCTATGTATAACTTAACTTTAAAATATATTTGATCTAACAAAAAATATTATTGGTTAATATTTTTAATTAAAAAATATCTTTTAATTTACGCGGTACTTTGTGGTTGAGTGACAATCGTCCGTCATTGGTTACCTACTGAGTTGGCCAAGGGCTTAGCGGCCAATAAGCAAGCAGAATGGTACATTGCCATGTTTGTTTAAATTACAAGCTTTGCTTAGTTTGGGACTAGAGGCGCTATGTAAAATAATTTCTTACTTCTGACATCCCTGAACCCGACATCATAATTTTAACCTCTTTATTTTTTTCAAATCGCAAGGTTGATTTTCTCTTAGTATACCGATCTCGACCGTGATCAGTGACCATAGAGTCATCTGTCAACGGGTCGATTAGACCCGATAAAAGCACTAAACGATATTTGTTTACTTTTAGTGCGACATCGGGTCGTAAGGTAACTTATTAAATCAGGTAAGTTTTTTTTTCCAAATATTTACTGTGTTTGACGAACAATTACAAAACAATATTTTTCTTTCGTACTACTGAAAAGACCGAATATATCCATCCCGCACCAACGCATCCAGCACCTCCTTAGGTCAATTCGACCCGATAACGCAGTGTGAACGTGTTAAGAATCCTTTTTAATAAAAAAAAACTTTGAACATCAAGTGCCTTTAAATAGTTTCCATCCTTTGACTACAACTTAATAAAAATAAGTACCATAACATAATTATTTTGAAGATTATTTGATAAAGAAAAAAAAATAATTTATACAAATCGAATTATTTAAAAAAGTATCACAATATTGAATATTTGGTGCTCATTTCTTTTATTTTTGAGGACCAACAAGTAACGATCAGATATATTTTTTACATCTCAAAATTTTTTTGCGTAGTTCAAAAGAGGTTAAAATATCGATCGACTTCATTTATTTTATGTCTCAAAGAAAGAGGATCAATCATTAAAATAGATAACCATTTAGATTTTTTATTTGCCGTATTCGCTAATTTAAAAAGATCATTTAAATACATGCCCTTAAAAATTAGGAATTGATGCTGAAAACGGGCATTAGTGTCAGAACTTATGAGACCCCTTATTACAAAAAGTTAGACTCAGTTTGAACCCTGGTTTAAATTGACCATCTTACTTTAAGAGTAGGCGCACACTGTTGATTTTTCGTCGGCCGATAGTTTCGATAGTTTAGTCGGGCAGTTGATCAGTATGGGCATGTATGGGAGTGCGCACACTACGCCGATTCGATTTGGCCGATTCTTCATACAATATAAAATCGCGCACATCTATCGGCCAACTAAAAATCAACGGTGTGCGCATACTCTAACTTTGACAAACGTCAAAAATCTGTCAAACTTCATACAAAGTGCACCGGTTAACGTTATATTTACGGTCAAAGTTAGGTGGTGCAACCAACTCAGCCTTAGTATGGAAATGTCATTTTAAACCAAAATTCGTTCCGGGTGTAACTTTTTGTAATAAGGCCCTGTAGGTTTTATTAAGAATGAAACTAAAGCAGACTAATTTTATGTATCTTCCAGAGTACAAAGAAAATAGGAATAATTTATGATTTACGTTGTCGGTAGGTATGCCAATATAGAGGCGTAGCTTCATAAATTGAACTACATAATAATAATATGTAGTTTATTGAACAAACTGCCGATTTTTCTATGATGAGGATGAAACACTATGAACTCTCTGCATGTGCTTGAGATAATAGACAGTTTAATTCAGATACTCGTAACTATTTTATATCTTACTAGCTTTTGCCCGCGGCTTCACCCGCGTGAAATTTAGTTTGTCACAGTCACAAATTATAGCATACATGTTATTCTGGGTTATAAACAATAATACTGTAAAGTTTTATCAAAATCCGTTCAGTAGTTTTTACGTGAAAGAGTAACAAACATCCAGTTCGTTTCAGCCAAATGACGTCCACTGCTGGACAAAGGCCTCCCCCAAGGTTTTCCACAATGAACGGTCCTGCGCTGCCCGCATCCAGGCTCTTCCCGCGACCTTTACCAGATCGTCGGTCCACCTAGTAGGAGGCCTGCAAAAAAGAAAAAAAAAAACTGCTGTGTGGGGACGGCCGTAAAAGAATACTTTTCCCCACCGCCAACAGGAGGCGTGTCGTAAGAGGCGACAAACTCCTGTAGCACCGGACGGGCAGCAGCGTCTGCGTGTGAAACCAAGCAAAAAAACTGCGATCGCCAACCCGCCTGCCAAGCGTGGCGATTAGGGCAAAACCCTCCAAATGGTGGCAAAAACAAAAAAAACATCCAGACATCCACACAAACTTTCGCATTTATGATATTAGTAGGAGTAGGATTTAGGGTCGCGCATGAGCGCAGTACACGTCAATTCGGATCTTTTTTTCCTTTACCTTCATTTATTTATTTATTTCAAACTTACATGCACAGAAGGCGGACTTAATGCCTTCGTTCCCCCTCATCCGCAAAAATCCTACCCATAAAGTGAATCAAGTGCTTGGGTGTGAGAGACCTATATTCTTCTGGTGCCGGATTACTAANTACATGCCATTATAAAGTACAGTTCATTTCCAACAAATAAAGTTTCATCAATATCTGTTCAATAGTTTTTGCGTGAAAGAGTAACAAACATCCAGACATCCATACAATACCCTCCACTATAGTGGAGGAGGCTCATAGTCCAGCAGTGGACTGTAAAGGGCTGTTGATGATGATGATGAGTGAGACATCCATACAAACTTTCGCATTTATAATATTAGTAGGTCTAGTTAGTATGACAGCAAAATCATAAGGAGACAACTTCATTACTTAATTAACTTATTTTGTGACTTATTTAGATGCAGTGTTCAGGAAATTAAAAAAATAGTTCCAATATACCTTCTGATTGTTTTTTAGGTTGTGGCAATCGTAATTTATTTGCAAGACTCGTGCAAATGTACGAAAATGTGCATCGTAGTATTCGTAGCCCGGTGGGACACGGTGACTCTGGCAACCGTGATGTTATTTCAGATGTAAAAGGTCCTATACGACCAGGAAGCTAAATTATTTGTCACGGAATACCAGGAGCGCAGGTTTCGCAAGAGATTTCACTGAAGCAGGGACGCGTTGCCCTTGGTAACAGGGATGTCATCTTAGATTCAGAATGTTCTACGGGAGAGATAGGATACACAGGACGCTACTGTTTATCCCAGTGCATTTAGGGGTCATATTGCTTTCCAATATATTTTACTAGAGATCAGTCGGGTGAATTCGAGTGGGACACGTTGCTATGATATGATTTCAGATGCAGAACGTCCTTTACGTCATAGTTCTATAGTTTTTGTCCCCGGAGTACTAGGAGCCCATGTTTTGCAAGAGGTTGCAATAACACAGACACACTATGTCCTTAGTTACCGTGATGTCATCCTAGATACGATAAGTTCTACAGGCTAGACGTAGTTTTCGACTCTTTGTACAAGTTGCTTAGGTCGTGTTTTGCAGTTTGCAAGAGATCGTCATTGCATTAACACAGAGACACGTTGTCCTTAGTTACCGTGATGTCATCCTAGGTACGATAAGTCCTACAGGCTAGACGTTGTTTTCGATTCTGTGTACTCGGGGGTTAGGTCATGTTCTGTTTGTAGAATTCGCATTAAAATAGCTTGGTTAGTTTGTCACATATCGTCATAAATTATAGCCTATATACACAGAATACATAATAGTAGCTGACTCTTTTATAATGCGAACAGCTAGGGGCTGGAATTCGTTGCCTGCTGCTGTCTTACCCGAAGACTATTATCCGGGCCTTTTCAAGGTGAGAGTGAATAGGCACTTACAGGGCAGATGTGTACCATCCTATACTGCATCCCACTTTTAACATCAGGTGCGATTGTGGTCAAATACCTGCCTTGTTATGCATAAAAAAAAGCTAAATAGCTAGATAGTATTACTAAATACTATCTTTTTCCCGCGGCTTCACCCGCGTGAAATTTAGTTTGTCACATGTCGTCATAAATTATAGCCTATAATAATATGTTATTCTGGGTTATAAACAATAATACTGTAAAGTTTCAACAAAATCCGTTCAGTAGTTTTTACGTGAAAGAGTAACAAATAACTATTATAATATTAGTAGGATTAGGAAGTAGAATAGTAGGAAGTAATATTATTTAATAATACTATCTTATGACAGGACAACGTCTGTTGGGTGGGACAGCTAAGTAATAAATAAAAAATGAAAGCTTTGGAAGCTCATCATAAAACTCTCATGAAGACTACAACCGCAAAGATTAATTTATTGAAGCGATTCTACTGGTTTCTACGTATTTTATGTAGATTTCATAAGCATGCATGTCTCTCAAGAAACCAACCGAAAAAACATTTTTTTTATGATGAGGTTTAAATCCTTTGAAGTCACAAACCACCGACGATGATATTTTTTTAATTGTGAATGACGTTTTATCAAACATCAATAAGACCATAGAGCCTTGGGAAATTAATTTATTGGAAAATTTTGGTTATTAACTTATTAGGTATGTACTATCTAGTATCATATTTTTAAATTCTGAATTTTAATCTGAAAATATTGGTAAGTTGGATGATCAAATATTTTCCTTATTGATTGCACCGAGCTGGTAGGTAGATGTTACTGATATGAGAGCAGCATCTTGATCAATAAGTTATTCAGTACACATTAATTTAATAGTCATTTTATTTTCAGGTTCAAAACAAGCACCATGAGCATAGAAGCCCACAATTTATGCAAAGCAGTCATGAACACATGTAGCACCAACTTGTCGAAATCCAGTTGCGCTTTTGACATGGACGGAACCACCACGAATGCCGCGAGTTGCGTCGCTGCCTCCGACACCAGGTCCAGTGGCGTCCAGACAAAGTCCAGTAAGTACAGGAAGCTGCGAAACAAAACTACCACTACAGATATCAAGTCAGTTCCTAAGATTGAGAAGAAGCTCAGTCAGTCGGAGGGTCACATGTGCGATATCCATGCTATAATCACGCTCAATGTGGTTGCTCGAAGACCAGACGACGATCAGAGGAGTTTGTCTGTAGAGACATCTGATATAAAGGTCTTGACGAACACCTCGTCTGCCAAAAGAAAGGAAAGCAAACAGCGCAGTAAATGCACTTGTACTGTAGAAGAATGCGCGAAGACAGGCACGTGTGCGGATTCGTGCAAGGAGCTGTGCAAGTATGGCGGCCTGGGCCCATGCAACGCCTTCAGTCTTGGTTCAGCTGACTACCGCATGTTGTTACGGGAGAAGTGCAACTCGATGCTCATAGGCGGATGTCGCGTACCGATCTGTCGTAACTTTAAAAACAAATTATGAATTGACTCTACATTATATTGTTTACATTATGTTTTATAGAGATTGTTGTTTTACAGTAATAAAGTGTTGTAATTTTTATTCAGTAATTTTTTCATTCTGTTCATTTCTAGTCTTGTGGGAATATGCAATGCATACCAGCAGAATGCATTCATAAAAAATTGTACACTCCTACAAGAATCTGAAAAAGAACTTACAAAACATGTATCAAGCTCTTAAATTAGCTCTTAGATCTAGATTTTTATTGACATTATTAATAATTGATGATACTAAATAATTAATGTATAAGTAGATTCCGTGATGTAGCTTGATTTCATTGATCGCACTCAAATAATGAGATGTCTTGGCCAAAAGGTAACAGGAAAAAAGATACGTTGTAGTGGGTTAACATATTCTGTGATAAAATTCATTCATTCTGGTGATAAAGAATATTTCAATTTTAAGTAGTTTTGTTACTACTCTTATAACATCTGAATGCCTGGTACCTCAGACTATTTTAGGATCATGATGTCAACTGTTCAATAAAAGATTTGTCGATACGCACAATTTTTGTGAAATAAGGTGAACAAGAGAATTTGTTACGATACGCACGACTTAAGGTGAGGTGCTTAACTCATGCAGAAACCCTAAGGAGAATAATAATTTTAAATTCATTAAAGTTTATATTATTGTAGACTAGCTTATGCCTGCGGCTTCACCCGCGTGAAACTCAGTTTTGTCACAGATCGTAATTAATTACAGACTCATATTCTGAGTTATAAGCAATAATACTGTAAGGTTTCATCGAAATCCGTTCAGTGTGCGGTATATATCCACACAAATACATAGTATCGGAGTTGCGTATTGTCGAAGAAACGTCTGTCGGAGTTCAGTTTTTGAGTCCGCAATCGCATTTGATATAAAAAATCCCATTGTATAGATTTAAAAAAAATGCCACAAAACGCAATCGTTGCCTTTACTGCTCAGAATACTTACATTTTAAATGAGGAAAACTTGCACATGCAAACAGGTCCACGACGCACGTTTCTGATATTGGCGTACTCGGAGTGCATATTTCAGAGGAGGTAGCACAAAGTCCAAGTGGATACATTGTTAGTAAACAGGATTTATACGAATACATTGTCATATCAATGATCATCGATTCATGCAACTGACTGAAACGGCTAGATGCGATGGAAGATTTACGTGAGTTGGATCTCGTGTAAGCGTTCCGCCCACCTGAAACATTGAACTCCTGAAATATTATGACGCCCTGGTACCAGAAGCGGGTATTTCAGGTTAGATTGACCGCTGCAAAGGCTATCCAAGCAGGCTGTAACCAACGTTTGAGATCTTAAAATTAGTATTAAATAAGTAGGTACATAGAAAATTATGCGGGCAATCTATTAAGATTATTTACTCAGGGAGGCCTGCCCCCATGATATGCCATATTATTTAGTATCATCATAGCTCATGATTGAGAATAGTACCTTACTATCATTTTCGAATCGGTAGTCCAACATCCTGAGGGGGCCGTTTATGGTCACTAGGCATGATTATTATACTACTTTTTATTTACTTGCTTGATATGCAAAGTAACAGATTTTTCAAGGGGTATATTAATTATTAAAAAAATATTAAGTGACCTTATTATGGGGCTGTTAATATTGATGAAGTTTCGATCATAGTTGATTGTTATTTATAATTCAAAAGAGAGAATATGAGATTCACCTTACGAGCATAGAGACAATATTTATAAAAGAATAGCGGGAGATGGAATCACCTTGGTGCACACGAAAAGCACACTGCAATTCAGCTGGTGTCCTGCTCACACAACAGATGCATCTCTTCTGTATTTTACATGAACCTCCTTCAAGCCTGTGAACTCCTGGTAGTTGCGAGCGAACCTGGATGACGTCATACGCCCGGAGATCGCGTAAAATTCATATTCAATTTTTATACCTGCAGGTGTTTGCACCTGAGAGGTTATGCACTCGCAGCTTTTGCACTTTAGGGGCAACAATGTAGTACTGCAAAAACTCCAATAGATTAATTTATACCTTGCGCCGATTTATGATTTGCTGTTGAAGTAACCAACCCATCTTTTGTTGAAAAAACATTCCTTTTAATCAATATATGTATTATTAATAATACAAGTAGGTACACAATTTTGACGATTCATTCTTGTATGACTAAAGCAATTCAATTGAACGACAAACGCCCGTATTCACAAACATTACTATGAGGTCTCACAGTGCGCGTGGACTCACAGGGTGACACACGAACCGATCACAGAGCTCTATTCAACACTGTCTGTTTAATTTGCTGCATCGTTTGTGTACATGGGTGAAAATGTTTCTTTGCTTAAACGCTACGGAAAATCCGTATTTCCCCGATTCCTAGAATACACTTGCATATTCTGAGAAAATTCGTGATATATAACAACTGTGTCTCCCAGGGTAACACCTGTACCAGGATAGCATAAACTGTGAGGAGGTCACTCACTGCTGGAGCGAAATATATTATACAACTAGCTACATACCATTTGGTTCATAGGACTTCTATGTACGAGTGCAGGGTGGTTGCAAGTAGAAGGGATAACAATAGCGCTGTCTATAAAGCGGAAAAGGGATGGCTGTATCGACATTCACGTTCTACATAGACTACGTTAACATAGGTATATGATATTGCTACATGATGAAAGCTTGTTTATATAACGAGTTCACTTACACAAACGGTATTGCAAATGCGCTTGCTCTCTTCCTCTTGACACCTAATACATATTAGATTGCATTGGTTTTGCATTGTCACGTCTGACGAATCGGAACAGTCTCACAAAATAAAAAATCATATGTACCCTAATCAACGTTTTTCTTTAGGAATCATCTAAGCCTGATATTTCTTAAATTATGACCTTAATAAAAGCAAAATATATGCCAAATAATTGTTAAAAACAATTAACAATTTTAGATACTATCTCAGTCTGCCTACGAACTACATATGAGCAGATAGAGGTAAAAGTAAGGATCACTCACACGGCATATTGGAGGAAAGAATAAAGGTTAATTTCTTCCTTCAGCTTTTAAGTTTTGTCACACTTATTCTTTAACAAATTCGCTCGTCAGTTTGCACACATTTCCCAACAGAAATAAAACGTATTTATTAATAAAAAGTCATTATTTTGAAGAGCACTCGTACGGCCCGTGTGCGGTGTGAGTGATCCTAAATAATCGTCATAACTTTGGAACGGGACGTGCAAGGAATTTCTGAATTTGTTAATAGTTTTAACATATTCTTAACAATTTTTCGATTTCTTAAATAGCCGCGATCGTTCTAAAATAAGTCGATTATTTGATTCCCGAGAAGTCGTTGAAGAAGATTTACTTAATGAATGGCAAAAAAGATGGGATACGTCAGTCAAAGGACGTCACTTATATAAATTCTTCCCGAATGTACGCGAACGTCTAACTAGGCGATGGTTAGAAATCGACCATTGCTCGTCGCAGTTCCTCACGGGACATGGCAACTTTAAACATAAACTTCACGAATTCAAACTAGTTCCGTCTCCTTTTTGCGAGTGTTCCACTGATGATGTCAGTCATGAGCAGTCTGCCCATCATATCTTGTGGGAGTGTGATCTTTGGAAACATGAACGTGATATAATGCTTAATTCAATACAACATACATCTGTTTCCGCAATTTATTACACCGATCTTGTCGCGACAAGGAAAAATTTCCGTGCTTTTAAGCGATTTTGTGAAAAATATTATTGGCAGGTAGTTGCTAATTGCTCATAAGATAGGCCCCCTTAATTTAATTTATTGTCCGTGGTGCATAATCTTTTTCTTAAAGGTTTTAAACCTTTGTTTGTCACCTGTCATCCGCTTTGCAATGGAGGGAAGTCGAACCTTAATTTCGAACTCCTCCTATGTTCTTCTGATTAATTTCGTTGCGGGTCCAATGACAGTTTAACTTTCCCCCGGGACAAACTTGACCTTCATTGGTTGGGTTTTTTGTGGCGGTCAAGCTGTAGATCCTGGCTACACAGGAGTTGCAGTGGTGGGAACGAGAGGTGGGAATAGTCCCGTTTTGGTGCCATATAGCCTATAGGCTGACCCTATATAAATAGGGAGACCCATTTTAGTTCTAGCTAGCACCACAGAATAATAATAAGTGCTACGTACAGAAGGTTTTCTTCGCGAAGGTATTTAAAAAAATGTATGCTCAATGTCGTCAACAATATGGTGTAATTTAGCTTGTCTCACGAGTCGAGCACCGTTTTCTTGACATACGTCAGTGATCGGTACAGCGCCGATTTCATAGGGCTGACTTCGGTAAAATAATGTGTGACGTGAAGTGCCAAACTGCGGAAAATGGCGGAGGAAATACGAGTACATGATTTTGCATGAATAATATTTTGTGTTTCTATCATTACTCAGGCAGTTAAAATACTGCACATTATTATTAATCACACCACCGTTCTGCAAATGGGTGAAGAATACACGTGCGTGTGTCAATGCTCGCTAGTGAATGTCCTGTCGAAAAAATATCCAAGTAGGTAGGTGCGGTCCCGCGTGTTTTGTTTTCGATGCAAACTCGCGAAGATGAACAGGCCTGCTAGCACGTCGCATTCGCACAGTAGGTGTTTCATGGACTCAGCATGTTCTCCACATGCTCGCTCGACGGCTGTCGTCCGTCCATTTTGTGGAGCATGTGGTTCGTGATGTAGTGTCATTGTTTAATTTACTAATTCACTATAAACTCAATGCCAATAATATCTATGATAAAAAAAAAAAGTCTATCTTGTCTGTGGTAGTAAATAAACATGGAGTATTTTTGCCGGTCAACATTGTTTTTATTAAATCCAATTAAATCTCGAACATTTTGGTCCAAACGAGCTGGATTTATATACAACCAAATACATTAATAGTGCAAAGTAACAAGTACAGTAAAATCAGTGAAAATTTTGTGCGAATTCTACAACAGTGAGTGAGTTATACCGACCGCCATGGAATTTGATAAAT